AAACAATTATTTTAAGCAAGGTACTAAAAATTACATACTCGCATACAATATCTAAAAAATCCATATATATCAAGATATATCGTCCGATAAAACTGACAAGCAGGACAATGATGTGGGTGCTGCCATGAGATTTTAATAACTGGAGTGCCTAGGGACCAGACATTGTTGAATTAATAGGTAAGGTAACAAGTCACACGGTGCTAGTTCTGGTTAATGGACCGATTAGCTGGGGTTATAGCAAAATAGTCGATAGTTTAGATTAACAAAATCATACAACCCGTAATTGGGATGATTGTACTCAACTTTTTCCTCATTTAGTTCATTTTCAGCTAACAATAGTGAGCCCCGATGGCTGTAAAAACTATCTTATTGTGACTTAGTTGTAGTTTACTCTGCTTTTGTACATGCTGAAAACTTGAATGATGGACGTGTATATGCTTGTTAGGATTGTAGAAAAGCATTTCCTACAGCGTTGTGCTTGGGGGGTTCAATGGAAGCTGTTAACCGTTTGTTACGTGGGCGTGGTAAGACATAATCACACTTGGATTTATTTTAGGAGCAAAAGTAATGTGAAACTCCAAAATAGGAATACTGTGTGTTTTCCCTAGATAGGATCATAGGAGTAAGTTACTATCATGCTCAAATCATACTATCATATTTTGGCTTCACCAAGCATTGATATGGCAATATTAATGTCATAATTGACAGTATTTTCTAAGTGTGGTAATAATTTCTCCTATTTACGGAAAACAAACATAGTGTTCCAATTTTTGAATTTTACATTCTTTTGACTCCTATTTAGGACAATTTTCATTTATTTTACTCATCATTGCTATTACTAATGTGTAACATTAGCTTGATTCTAACAAAATGGGAATATTGAAAAGAAAAATAGTTTATTTATGCATGTAGTGAATTTTTGCAAAAAGATTTATGTTAAAAAAGTGTATGAAGTATTAGTAAATACATTCAGCAGCATGTTTTTTTCCAGAAGAACTGTTTATTTAGATGATTTACTATCTACATCAGGTTTTGTTAGGGCCTCTCCTTAATTAGAAAGACGGTGGGAAATAGAAGTGTAGAATTTTCTAGAAAGCTTTTCAGACATTAGAGAAATATAGGATTATGTAGTAGCTTATAGAAGAGTGTAGCTTCTTAGAACCTTACAAAAGAGTGTCGAAAAATATGGAAGGAAGGCATAGAGATTTCTTGAATATATCTAGAACAATGAGACATGTGTGGAGAATGTTAGAAACTGATTTCCACCCTTGGATCCCACTAATCTATTTCATTCATTAAGAATGTGGAGTAGTATAAGTACAGATAGAAGCCTTCATTCCTAACCAATCTAAGAAAAGAAACATGCCACTTCCTAAAGAAACAATAGTTATTACTACATATAATCCTACTGGTCAAGTATGGGCTTGACCGGTGGCTTATAAGCAAGGTGTTCTGTTCTCTCCTCCTAATTGGCTGATCTTTTAGTAGTGAGTTCTACACTTGGGCTTATGGCATTGATATGGGCCTAGTATGGGCTAGGTCCGTAACAATTGGTATCAGAGCCAAAGTGTAGAACTCACTCCTAAAAGACCAGTCGATTAGGAGGAGAGAACACCTTGCTTATAAGCCACCAGTCAAGCCCATACTTGACCGGTGTGGGATCGTAACATATTCATATGTATTGGGGAAAAATCTTTTGGATCATTACTATATTAATGGTTAAATTCTTATCTTAACTTCACAAAGCGTGAAAAAACAAGCTCTCTTACAGGCTGAATCATTTTAAGGTGTATTGCTTACTACTTATTCATACAAGAAATATCAATTCACATCATTGTTGTCCTATAAGTACATGGACATATTTAAGGAAAAAAGTGAGGCGTATTTGTTTTTCCTGGAGACGAAGTGACGAACAAGTATTGATTTCAAGACATGTGAAGTTCAAAAGTAATGTAATGGTACATTAGTACCTCATGTGACCCCTTGATTCTTCTCTCCATACAAATTTTATCATAATGTACTCTGTATTTCATTTGAATGTACTGCTGAATTTAAAGTATAATGATAGGTGGAGTATTTCTTCATTCCCAGGTGGCATTGAAAAATTAGTGATGATGGATACATCACCAGACATGATCAAACGATGTAGAGATGCTCAGCATGATTATCCCAATGAGAATGTTGAAACATCATTTGTTATTGGTGATGAAGAGTTTTTGCCTATCAAAGAAAGGTGTGCTCATAAGAACCATTTTAAATTTATAAAATGATTAAAGAGACTTTGGTCACGACAATCACTGTGTGCATTATACATGAGTATTTGACCAAACTGATTATTTACCGTTCTAAAAATTTTGGAGGTAAAAGTTCCTTGGATCTTGTTATTAGTAGTTTGGGATTACATTGGACGAATGACCTTCCCGGAGCTATGATCCAGGTATAAAAATTTGATCTTCATGCTTTCATATTTTTTGTTTGAAAAATAAAAAGCATGGTTGGTTACCCGATTTCTTCACTGGAAAATTACCACACTCTATCCTTATATTTGTTGCCTCTATGGCAGTGTAGATTGGCGCTGAAACCTGATGGTCTATTCTTGGCAGCTATTCTTGGGGGAGAAACATTAAAGTTGTTTCTTCTGTTTAAATCAATTTTCAGCTCTTAAAAATATTTTATTTTCTAAGTCATTTTACAATTTCTTTTCGCTCGATTATTATGAAGGGAACTGAGAATAGCATGCACTATAGCTCAAATGGAACGTGAAGGAGGGATTAGTCCACGAATGTCACCTTTGGCACATGTATGTTTATTTGGTGCTTTAATGCTAGTCCAATACAAAATATTACTCTTTAATACATTAAAACATACTACGTATTTCTTTAAAAAATATAAGACATATTTGTTTTACTATTACTTTCCATGGCTCTCAATTGCTTCTATAGGTGCGGGATGCTGGAAATCTTTTGACCAGGGCAGGCTTCACTCTTCCTGGTGTAGATGTTGATGAGTATACTGTCAGGTATAAGAGTGGTAAGTTATTCATCAAACTTCCCAATGCTTTTGTTTCCTCACATAATTCTGTGGTATGAGTAGCTTTATTATGCTACTACTAGAAAGATACATTTGAAATTTATGAACAGTGATTTGAATATCATTTGTTTAGCACAGTCATTTTCTTCTCACTGGGTTTGTGAAGATGTCCAATTATTATTGACAAAGAGTATAGTGAACATTTGTGACTGCTTTGTTTTCTCTCTTTCTGTACTCTCATTAGCTTCAGCAATCTGTTCAAATTAGATGGGTGTTCTGCTTTAAAACTTTATTTGCCAAATTTCAAGAAATATGCAGAAAGTGAATCGAATGGATATACAGTTGCATACTGATATGCAGAAACTAAATTTGGCAGTAGCTGTGAAATTCAATGTAGTTGATGTCCATGTAAAAATATCTTTGCAGACTCGATATTTTGAAATTGATCTGGGCGACTCTTGATCATACATCTGTAATGTTCTTTTGGGTGCTGTTTCGAAATAGTGTACTGAATGCATATTTACCATCTTCTGTAATGAGGTAGCTTTGGAGCTGATAGAGCATCTTCGTGCTATGGGCGAAACCAATGCCCTCTTACAAAGAAGCAATGTATGTTACCCACCCACAGCCCTTTCCATGAAAAAGTGATTTTTGTTTGAACCATTGAGATGTGAGGCATATTTCGTGCACAAACTCACTTTACAAAAATGTTTCTTCCTGTCCACAATCTGACTTTATTACATTGCAAAAAAATCTTTATATTATGACTATGTTTGTCTACATTTGAATCGTGAGATTAATAGATGTTGAAAAGGGACACAGCTATTGCCACTGCAGCCATTTACGAATCAATGTTTGCTGCAGATGATGGCACCATACCAGCAACATTTCAGGTGACTGTTAAGATCACTTTGATCGTATATCTGTCAAAGATGCATTGATTTATAATATTCTTGTTATAGGTCATATACATGACAGGGTGGAGGGAACATCCTTCTCAACAGAAGGCTAAAAGCAGGGGCTCTGCCACTATATCGTTCCAGGACGTTCACAAGCAGTTTAGTGGTAGCAGTTGAAGTGTTGGGACACCCCCATGTGTTGGATTAGGTATCTCTTGTTGTTGTGGTGGTGGTGGTGTGTGTCTATATATATTTGCCTTCTTTTTTATTAATAAGATAAGAAAGGTGTCCATTGATCATTTACAGCTTGGCATGGCATTTGCATAATTATGAGCCTGTTTGGATATGATTTTGGACGAGACCAAAAGTTTTCTTACATGTAAAGTAAGGTTTATGTGACACTATTAGCTGAAAAGTAGTCATATATCTGCATGTGTTTCTATGTCCCTGAAAACGTCTGCCAACAATCATATATCTGATTGTCATGAAAAGCATGGCCACTTTCTAAACAATGGTGAATGTGGTTGAATTGGATGGACAACCTGATGTCCTGATGGTATAAATCAATGGTGATTGACTGATCGATGAAAATATCCCCATGGTTTCGATATTTTGGAATGAAACTTCTATATTTGTAAGTCTCCGATGATAATATTATGGCTAAATGGCTAATGCAGTTTCTCTGGAATCTAAAAGAAAAGCTGTAAATGCCAAGAAACATTTACAAATAGGGTAACATTGTGAGAAATGTAGATATGAAATGCCGGCATTTTTTTTTTATAAATTGCAATTACCCATTTTCATAAAATTCATGTTTTTATCATTGAATAAAACTAAGAGAAAATAAGTTAAATGAGTCGAAAGCATAACGCATCTCTAGTCTCTAGAGATAGAAACATCATTGGTTATCATTATTAAAGATCATTCGTTGTGTCAAACTTTTGTTTAAAGTAATTGCTTCCAAAAAATATTGGTCGGACAAAACATGCTGACACGCCAGCAAGATAGAATCTGTCATTATAAACAATAAATAAAAAACATGGAAGAAAATTAGTTGGACAGCTGAGTTGGGTGGCCGTGTGCTTGAGCTTGACATAGTCAGTGCCATCGGATAATGGCTGAACCCCCTGTAAGGTAGTGCTGGACTCGGGCTGGGCGGCCCGAACCGGAACCGGCCTGGCCCGGTGGCCCGGTCCACCGGCGGTTCGGGTCGAACCGGCCCGGTGAATACCGGTTCCGGGCCCGGGCCCTCTATTTGGTGAACCGGCCCGGCTGGTTCGGGCCCGGTCTGGGCCGGAATATTTTTTTTTAATTTTTTTTTGAAATTTTTTTAATTTTTGGGTTGGATTAGGTATTTTGGGCCATTTGAGGTGGTTTGGGGTGGTTTGGGGTTGAGGGGTAGGGGTAGGGGGTTAAATAAGAGAAGCCAAAAAATCAAAAAAAAAAAATGTGGCGGGTGAACCGGCCCGGTCTGGCCCGGAACCGGCCCGGAACCGGTCACCTGCCGGTTCGGGCCCGGGCCCTCCTTTTGGTGAACCGAGGCCCGGCCGGTTCAAGGCCCGAACCGGGTCCGGCCCGAACCGAGTCCAGCACTACTGTAAGGCCAGCAGCAGCGACAATAACACATGATCACCAGCTTTAATCTTTCTGGCCTGAACAGCCTCATGCCCTCATGCAATGCCAATGAATAGAAGCAGCACTGGTGTTCCGCGTTCCCATAGTTTTCCAGGTCAGAGATGACTTTTACGGGGGGTGGGGGGGTGGAGTCCATACGAGACACTACCGCATCAATGATCCTTCGATTTGCTTGATGAATAAGCAACCAGTCAATACCGGAGAGGGTGAGACCGGCACAGGTCTTTGCCAAGGCAGCTTCAATTGATTGGGGGACGACATGGACCGCAAACTTGAAAACCTCTTTGCTGTTCATTTGGAGGCAGAGGAGTAATAGAACCCTCTTTTGTGTGGAAATGCATGAGACGGTGAATGGCTATTTGTTGTGCTCAATGAACTCTCCTTATTTACAGCTTTCCCTTCTCTTTTATTGAAGACCACAGATCACAGGTGCCTAGCTACAACAAGAGAGTATATTTTGATCATACACTATGGTCTGTGAACATTGTGTGTCACCGTTTCACGTAATTGTGGGGTGGCCATTCTGGGTTTGATCATACACTATGGAGTATGGACTAATAATCTAATACTCCATATTACTCTTCCTCTTTTATTTTGAGTAGGGGTGGACTCAGGCCGGTTCGGACCCGGGCCCGGCCGGGCCTCGGTTCATGAAAGGGGAGGCCCGGAACCGGCCCGGGTAACCCCCAGGTCCGGTTCAGGCCATTGTTTGTAATTGCGCAATGCAATTGCGCCTCATGGCGCGCCTCAACTAATTTCTGGACTATGGCGTACAAGGCATTGCATATGGCGCTGGGAGTGTGACGTACGCAATATTGCACTGAGGCGTACGCAATATTGGATACGCAATAAGGCGCTCTGAGGCGTACGCAATAAGAGGTCAGGGTGTAAGGGTATTATTTGGGCCCACTCGGCCCACTTTTAAATTTTTATAATTGATCTTATGATCCCTATTTGAAACCAGTAGTTATTGATTGAAATTTTCAGTCAATCAATATAATTAATTTAAATTTTCATATCTTAGATTTTTGTTTTGATAAATGATTTAGAATGTTTTGGTATTCTATGGTACTTTGAAGTTTGAACATGTTACTTTGCTTGGCCTCTTATGGTTTGTTTTAATATAACATTTGATGACTTTTGATGAATATGTTTATTTTTTATTATGTTTATATATATATATATATATATATATATATATATATATATATATATATATATATATATAATATACACTCCCTCCGTCCCCTTTTAAATGTCCCGTTTTACCATATGGGGATGTCCTTATTTAATTGTCTCATACCTTATTTGGTAAAGTTTGTGTGGCTCAAAATTATTCTTACTTTATTCTTACTTTATCAATTAATATCAACCACACAAACTCACTTTTCTTAAAACCCGTGTCACCCTCTTCCGGGACATTTAAAAGGGGACGGAGGGAGTATATATTACGCCTCAGCTATATGCCTCATTGCGCAATGAGGCTTACGCAATATGCAATATTAAAAAAACGCCACGACTACGCAATTCACAATTTCGAACCTTGGTTCAGGCCAGGCCGGGCCTCGGTTCAAATTAACCGCACACAACGGCGGAAGGGAGAAACCTGATTGACAATGTTCTCCAACCGTTTCTACTTAAACGTCCCGGCTCGACCAAAAAAGAAGAGCCCTTGGCCTCAACCTCAAACCTGATGATGTCTACACACTTGGACTGTCGCTCTTCGTCGAATGAGACAAATCGGAGAAGCTCAAACCCTAAACGAAGGGAGACAACCGCTTTTGGTTGCGTACATTACGATTGCAATCCGCGGATCTCAAGTTTTAATATTCCATATAGGTGTATAAAACTATATACACCAGATCGGACCGAATCGGGTTCGATACTGTGCTAGACCGGAACGGATCGCAACCGATCTAGCACAGTATCGAAACATGAATCCATCATACAAGTATTTTTTTCAATGAAGTATTGAGTATCAAAACATCATACAAGTTTTTTTTTAGACAATCGTTATCTTAGACTTTTAATAATAAAATTACTCCGTATGTGATTGTTTCTCAAGAATTTAAAGATCCATCCAAATTTGTTCAGTGCCAATCATGAAAACCCCACCCGACTCTCTCAGGCCTAACCGCTGGGAACCCCTGAACCACAACAATTAACCCCACACGGCCAAAAAACAACCACTCCATCCATACATACTCATAACATGATTTCTTTTTAACATGATTTCTTTTTTCGACCTCCAAAATCAAATGTCTACTTGTTCAAATTTTGGCCAACTAATTTTTATGAGGCCAGGCCTCCTATTCTCAATTACTCTCTCCCCTTCCTTGAACTTCACTAATTTTAATTGGTACTGCTCAGAAAATAAAAGGTGTGTAGCTAAGGTTTATGTCAACTGTCAAGAATAGAGAAGTACGTAATACTCCGTATTAATAATAAACTAAATTTTCAAAAAGTGGGGTTAATTTTTATGCTATGCTTCTTAATAAAAAAAGATGAAAAAGTTTAATGAGATGGATGCACTCATGTACTGATGCACTATAGCCTATAGGAACAATAGAGAGGAAAATCAGGAAACTAAGAAGAATTTAAGAGTAAAACATGGATTAAAATAAAACAAGAAATCGAATTGTCACTTGATCGAATTATATTACTAAACAAGGGCTTCCTAGAAACCGATCTGCAATGGTGCAGAGATAGAAGGATAGGATTTAAATTGATATATGTAGCACATAATATAAGGATTTGTGTTAAAAGTATCAGAGCAACCACTATATTAAGACATGAGTTACTCCTCATATTAGGTTAACCATTTAGGATGCAATCACATACCTTGACAATACAATTTGTAACGTAGTAACGTACCCTCCCGTCCCCTTCCCAACCAAGAAGGCATCAATGCATCATTTCATATGATATCATGTTTGCCACGTCAAATCAAAATTAATAAATTTCAATTAGTGATGCGTAGAAAATAGATACCTTTATTTTGGTAACAAATGCCAAATTTTCTTGATCGAATATACGGAGTATAGAAAGATTAATGAAAGTTTTGTTACCTGTAATTACTCGTATACACCTACCTTGTGGGAAAGAAACAAAGAAAATTTTCAACAATGAAATAATATATACTCAATAAAACAGTAGAGGTCAATCTACACTTGAAATAAATTTTGATAGTGCACAGTGGCGGAGACAGAATGGTTCAAATTTTATATTTTATAATGTGTGGAGTTGAAGTAATTTGATGTGATTTGAATTTATATTAACAGAAATTACCCTAAATAAGAGTAAAAATGTTTTGAAATTTCAAAATAGAACTATCATATTTTTTATTCTCTGGATAGGAGTAATCTGTCAAGTTTGGAAAAAATGTCATATTTAAAACCTAATAATGCCAAATTTGACAGAAATTTACTCTTTAGGGAATAAAAAACATAATAATCCTATTTTGAAATTTCAAAACGTTTTTACTCATATTTAGGGAAATCTCTCTCATATTAATTACTTTCTATAACTTCACATACTAGTTCTTTACTATTGAAAAAGATAGAAATGTGGAATTATTATATGAAATGATATTCTTGTATAGATCGATCTTTTACAATAAAAGAATTTTGAACACTCAAACAATCCGTAATGTATGTAACGCTGATGATGCACTTGCACATTTTCACAAGTACTACGTATAAATTATTCTTCCTCCATTAAAAAATTTTCCCACTTTATATTATGATCGAGGTGTCTTTCATGCTAATTATATTCCTTTTACATTAACAATACTTGCACCATTTCACTTTTTAAATATGTATGTGTATACAAAATTGGGAAGTAAGTGGCGAAGTAACTTTTGATTTCAAAAGCTACATTGTACTTCTAGCTGAAGTTATTGCAGATGATTCTATCAAATGTTTTCCATACAGTTCATTTCTTTATTTTTTTTTATTAAAATTTATTTTGAATATAATTTTTCTATAATTATGCATCAACTCATCCAGTCAGTTCGGTTCAGCTACAACTTCATCAATTTCCATACATTCAAGTGATTTCAGTGCTGCCAAACACGTTCTTAGTTATTATGACTGCATTCAAAATCAGTACAATATAATGTTGAGCCATAGTAGCTTAAAGTTATTATCATGGCCTTTATTTCATACAAACAAATTACGTAGTACAGGTATGTTTTTGTATGTTATTTGTACATAGTTTTATATTAGTCTGTACTTTCCTTCACAATCACCTAATCTATTTTTAGTATCTATTTTTCCTAAAATATTACTAAAATAAAATTCATAGACTAAACTCACTAAAGTGCACTAGAAGAATATCAATTTACTTTTATGATCACTATGAATAAAATTAAACATAGTGAAAACTTCTTTTTTTTTTTTTTTGAAAAAGTAGCTTATATATTGATATAACAAAATTCAGACAAGAAACATGAAGATAAAAATCAAATCCTAACCGTCAGCCCTTGAACAAAACTTAGAGCCAGTAACTTTCGAGAAAGCAATATGACTCGCTAATCATAGAATGAGCATAACCGAGTCAAAGACGGTCAAAATAGACCTTTCATCACTCAATCCAAAATCAAGAGTCTGACATAATGAAAAACAAAACACAATAACAAGAACAAACTGACCAAAGCAAAAAAGCAAAATTAAAACAAAATATAGTTACTCGAATTCAACTGCTCTCCCAGAACCATGAGGGGTTTCAGTTGACTCTCCGTGGCGTAAAACTTACTCAGAAATCCCGACGGGTCTGGTACCCATCACACGTCTCCTCTCCGCTTTTTGGCTCGTCGAGAGCCATGCCATCGCCACTTGGGTCACCTGACATATCCTTTCTAGGATCCGTCACTGTAATCATCCAATCTTGTCTCCCCACATCCGTCTGTCTAGTCAGCCCTTCCTCCCTATCCTGCTTGTGTCATTGCTGCTTTTTACACATACCTGCCGATGAAGACGAGGTTTCCTGCCCCCTACTCGAAGCCAAACTCTAAAAGATTTCTCTAGCGCTTTATCCCCTCTCTCATACACCAAAGGGCAGAAACTATCTACATGGCCAATAACTCCACACACAAAGCAAAAGTTTGGCAATTTCTCATATTTAAAATCCACCCAATATCCAATTTCCTTCCCTTTCCTAAGAGTTGTTCCAGTCTTTAGAGGTTTGCCTACATTCATACAGACTCTAATCCTGATATAAGCATCCCATGTTCCCTCAAACTGATTTTCATCAAAACTGAAAGACTTTGCCAATAAAATTACCAACCCTTTTAGCGACCTCTAAGGTCATAAGTTCATGACATATTATGCGCTTGAACTCAGAATTCCACCACATTCAGATAAACCTTTAAAGTTATATCCCCCGAATTAATAGCCCTACGAACCTACAGATTTTGTTCAAACAATCACGAGCCATTCTCCAAGACACGCTACAAATCTTTTATATGATAAAAATTGAATAATTACATATTATCCCAGAGTTCTTTAATCGAGACTCCTTTTCCTGGGCGCCGTATTGAGGCCATAAGCTCTCTGAAAATCTGGAATTTCTCCATTTTGTTAGATATGATTGTGTCTACAATTGAAAAAAACTCCCTCTCGCTACCCGCCCCTTCGCCATCGGCCTCTTCCTCAAAGATCAGTTCTTCCTCATCCCCTCCAATATCCAACTTGTCATATTGATTGACAATGGATTCCACAATACTTGATGTCGAGTCAAGTAGTTGCACCGAGAGTTGAACGAGATAATCCAGAGCCTACGTGAGGCCGATACCTTCGCCGCACTCGCCTAGAACGCCTGGCAGAAATTGAATCGTAACTTGTGGGAAGGACACAATAGTGAAAACTTATAATCACTTAAAATTTGTAAGTCGTTTGTTTATTAACGGGAATAGTGACATAACTAAAACATAATTTAAGGGGAGCACGATCACATGAATGGGAACTGTCTGGCGAGCTGGCCCTGAGAGCCCAAACGGCTTGCGGTCCATTGTGGCAGTGTGGCTTAATTTGCATACATTCTTTATTTTATTAATAAAAAATATTTTAGAAATAAATTTTCCACAGTTCAACAATTTCAACACATTCAACTGCTTCAGTGGGAACCTCTTCAATTTCAGTTAATTCAATCAATTTCAATGTCACTAAAGTGACTCGAATCTCAATTGAAATTAAATTCAAAATATGTGACGTACAATTTGGAAGGTAATCCGGATTCTATCGGTATCACAATTAAAAAAATCTACTCCCTCCGTCCCTAAATAAATTTCCAACTTTCCTTTTTGGTCCGTCCCAATTAAAACTTCCACTTTCCTTTTTTGGTAAAGAATTTGTGATTCACAACATTTCTTACACATTTCTCTCTTCCGCATAACTTTTCATCACACAATACCCACTATCTTAAACTGTGTGCCTAATCCATTTGAAAGTTTTATTAGGGACGAAGATAGTAATTGAAAATATAAAATTTATTACTCCGTACTAAAAAGGAAAAACAAACACACACCATGTCATATCATTATTAAACTCACTTACTCCTCCTTTCTTTTGCTGACTTGCTCTCAAGTCTCGTTGTCTTCGTCCCAGTTTTCGGATCTCCATGCCCATCTGTCCCCCCCTCTCCTCTGGCCGTATGCAAATTCTCTCCCTGGGTTCTTCAAATTTCAGCGTCTTAAATAGAAAGGTACAATTCCAAAGTGCCACTCAATCTTATCCTATTTACATTTCTTCTTTACTTTCCCCTCTCGTTTCTTCACTTATTGTTTGTGATTCAGCGAAAGATTGGGTATTTATTTCATCACTGTCTAAGATTTGCATTAGGGTTCTAGGCGCATTTCTTTTTGAAATCGAATGCTAGTCCACTGTTCGGATTCATAAATCATAATTTACTTTAGTTGAGAGTCTTATATTCTGTTTTTTCCCTTTTTCTTTATGGTTTGTTCCAGTTTCCGAATCTCGATCCTCTTCCGATTCCTTTTTTCTTATTCGTAGATATCTTTGAATCTGTTAAAGTACATAATTTGTGGTGCGGTTGGAATCTCGATTCTCACACAATCTTTAATGAGAAGCAATAAAAATCCAAGCTTTAGTTTTTCTTGATCAAGGAAGAGATAGAATAGAGTTCATTATTGGGTCGTGATAAATCTGTTCAGTACTCTAACCTAATTGCTTGTAAACTCATTTTCCTTCATTTGCCTTCTAGAAGGGTGAAAAGTGAGGAGTAAGAATGTCAAGCGACAGATGCAGCCATTGGTGCTATAGCTGCAGACAGCCAGTAAACCTTACAAGACAAAATGTGACTTGCCCGAACTGCCATGGAGGGTTTGTGCAAGATCTTGATGAGGTTACTGCCACTGAAACCGAATATGATGGCGAGGATAACTATCACCAACGGCAGTCGAGGTTCATGGAAGCCATCTCCAGCTTCTTGAGGCGGCAAATGTCATCATCAAGAACAGATAGGCGTCAGCCTGAACCAAGTAACCCTTCTTGGAACCCATTGCTGATTTTTAGCGGCGACGTGCCAGCTGGAGGCAATAGCGGCGGAGGAGGAGGGATGACAGAGTTTCTGAACGAGGCTCTCGGATTCAGAAGAGAACATGGAGGAGGTGATTATTTCATTGGTCCTGGTGTGGAAGAGTTCTTTGATGATATAATCAGCAGCAATAACAACCGATCGGTCCCTCAAGCGGCTTCAAGATCTTCTATTGAGTCCCTTCCTAAGGTCAATATATCAAGAAAGCATGTCCGTTCCGATCTTCATTGCCCAGTCTGTAAAGATAAGTTCGAAATGGGGACCGAAGTGAGAAAACTTCCTTGTGATCATTTGTATCACGCGGATTGTATCATTCCGTGGCTCCAACAACGCAATTCCTGCCCGGTTTGTCGCCGAGAGATGGAACCGGAGAGATTGGGTGATCACTGCGATGACCTTAGTGACTCCCGGAGTCAAAGTCGAACCAACTCAATGAGACTTTTTGAGAGGAGAAGGGAGAGGGGGAGGAGAATGTGGTCTTTCTTGTGGCCCTTCAGGTCTTCTCGTTCTCGCCGCCGTGGTGGAGTTCCTGAAACCAACATAGAGGCCACCAACCTGCAGTATAGTCATCATCACCATCATGTTAGTGAGTACTCTAGCTGGCCATTTGAATAGAAGATTAGAAGTTAATCCTCTGTTTAGTCCATGTGACTATCCACTGTTAATCTATTTGGTCTCCCTATATGCAATTTTATTATAATGTATTTGGTTCTAAATAAAAGAATATTTTGTCAATTCACTATATTTGGTGTGTCTTCAATCATGTACATTGGATCAGTAGTGGATGAAGATACCATCCAAAATGACAGTAAAATTTAGCCAAGGGCTAAATTAAGTCTCTATTGTAGTCAAGAACCAAATTAAGAGATTTGAGTCTAAAAAGAAAGTTGTGGACAAGACTGAGTAATATAATCTGTATCAAAATATATAGTCAAGGGACTAAACTGGTATTAACTATATGAATAATTAGCAAGGCTAGTTGGTGGTGGGCATGGGGCATTCTTGGACATAATATATATTTTTGTTATGTTGTGATAATAATTGGTGTGTACCTCCCTGTCCAAACTCTAGTGTTCCCACCATCCATGTTGTTTCTTTTTTTGCCTTTCATTTATCAAATGAATATGTTATCTTTGGTTGTTATGTAAGGGCTTGTTTGTTTTGGGGATTTCATGAAAGGATTAGTCTTTTTTGTTTTATTGATTTGTTTTTATTTGTTAGTCTTAGACTAGAGAATTAACTATATGATTAGTTAAATAATGTAGTTGTATACTTTTTGTCTGGATTTTATTTCCACACATTGATAAGAACAGAAAAATAAAAATCAACTGGGTGAACCGTTGTCCAGATAATCAACGATAAGTAAATACCGTTGCCCAGAGCCAAAAGGCTTAACCAACTTTTATTCCAAGATAATAAGAATGAACCCTAGCGAGCGGTATAAATAGCCTTCTACAAGCAACCCTAATCAAGCCCAAATTAATTAAATCCTAATTAGGCCCATACTAACTCTACTAAGTACTCTACTAATAATAGGCCCAAAACAAAACAAAACATTAATTTAAAAATAATAAATAACTATAAGGACAGCCCGTGACTGGCCCACGGAAGTGGGCCCAAGCCCGGTCCCGCCCCATGCTCTCCCCGCTTCATATCACACATCTAAATGTAAGGATATTTCATAAACTCAATATTATCCATTTATCCGAAAGTGGCAGAGCCAAGAATAATTTATTAGGGGGTCGGAGCTTAAAAATTTCACATTGCGGGGGTATGGGTGGACCGGTTCCGGTTGGGGCCTGGGCCCGGCCGGGCCTCGGTTTAGAAAATCTAGGCCCGAGCCCGAACCGCCGGTGGCCGGTTCCGGGCCAAACCGGGCCGGGCCGGGCCAACCGGCCCACATATTTTTTTTTTTTGGTTTTTGGTTCTCCTATTGAACCCCCTACCCCTCCCCCTCAACCCCAAACCATCCCAAACCACCTCAAATGGCCCAAAATACCTAATCCAACCTAAAACTTAAAAAAATTTCAAAAAAAAAAAATTAAAATCCGGCCCGGACCTGGCCCGAACCGGCTGGGCCGGTTCACAAAAAGCTGGGCCCGAGCCCGGACCGCCCAGCACCCGGGCCGGGCCAAACCGAACCGGTGGACCCACCGGGCCACGGGCCGGGCCGGGCCAAACAGTGACCGGGCCGGGCCGGTCCCGGGTCGGGTCGACCGGCCCGAGTCCACCCCTATGCGGGGGCCGAAGCTTCTTATTAAAACACATATTTTTATAAGTTTATATATATACATGTTGTGTTCATATAAATAAACTACAAATTTTATTGTGAAGGGCCGAGGCCCCTCTAGCCCCTCCCTTCCACACAAATTACCCCTGCTCTTCCTTTTAACCCAAAATCTCGAAACCAGTCAAGCCCTAATGCAGGGACCCTGTCTGGTAAATATTTAATGGGCGGTTCTTAGCTTGTTCAATCTTATAAGCTAAATATGATGTTTAGTAATTATTGTATCAGATTAGCTGTAGCAGCTGAAAATACCAAATTAAAAAAAAAATGGGAAGCTTTTTTAAAAAGAAAAAAACTTTGAAATGCTTCTTAAATTACATTTGCACATTAGCACGGCTAAAATTAGTTGCTGTGTCCAAATATGTTTATATAAATAGTTAAAGCAAAAAACAAATTCAGTGTATTAACTCTTTGTGATGAAAACCTCATTCTTAAGTTTCGTAGCTTATTGAACTCCGTAGAGAGCTCCTAAGGCAGAGCCGCCGCTAGGTTATTTTTTATTTCGATCTTTCTTGATCGAAGTTCGGTCAATGTTTCCCCAGCGAGATCTCTCGCGCAGGGTTTTTTCTTCGCCGCCTTGGTGCGGCGTTTCTTTCAATCGACGCAGCACTGCGCCGGGTTGCCGTAGTTTGGACGTAGCTCGGGATGGATGATCGTGGCAGCGAGAAGATGATGGAAGAAGCGAGAGAGAGACGCAGGGATGATCGGGACATGGTTAGCGTGGAGAGGCTGAACGCTCCATTCGATGGCATGGATTTGGGTCATACGGCGGGTACACCACTGAAAGAGGGTATCAATCGAGCGACGGTCCGACCTCCGCCTAAACCACCACCATGGGTTGTACGAGGTGCTAGAGTCCGTGAAAGTTTTCCTAGTATTTTCTTTTTCGGTTTGTCATTTGTTTTCGCTCATCTTTGTTGTTGGTTTTGACAATTTGTTTGAGTTTTTAGCCTCTCTTTATGTCATTGGGTATGGTTGGATCTATGGGAACATGTTAGGCTGTGTCAAGCGCACTACATGGTTAGTGATTCGTGTTGCTCTTTCAGGAATGACCGTCTCAAAGTCTCACCATAGGGTTACAGTCGTAGTTGTCGGAGTTTCAGTTGGTGTCAGTTTTATTTTCCCTTTGCTTGATGTAATGATCCTGAATTTTTTGATATGAATAGATGCTTGTTTTGATGATAAAAAAATAGTTATAGCGAAAGTTGTGACATTAGTGAATTCCGGTCCATCATCTGTAATGGAGCCAAAGACTCGATATTTTTGACTTGAGATCGAATATGATGGAATGAAACAAAATGACTCACTAAACTGTGTGCGCCTCTCCGTTAGGAAGCAGCAGTCGGTACGTACAATTTTCGACGTGATTTTGCACTATGGGTCACCCAGAGACCGAAAACAGTCTCTCTGTGCTTTAATATATGGGTAAGATTGGGTACTTCCGATTCATGTTACCTCGCCGTAGGTGGGGTGGGGCCTTTGCAACACTCAGGTGAGGATGACGATGATGAGTGAATCCGGGTCCATTTGGGTTGAAATTTTATGATAGTCTTAACTTCCGGTTCCTTTGAGCTAAAATTTCATGACAAAGTCTAATCTTCTTTGGTCCAGTGTAATTCATTTATGTTTGGTATGATCTTATTTAATATTATGTGCATTATATTATTACTATTATTACGTAGTATTATTTAATGCTTGCTTTGTCTTTATTTGATTATTTTGTTTTATATAAGTGTGGTGTGATGTGGTTAGGCTCTGGACTGAAATAAATTCCAATTAGAAAGTTCGAGATATGAACAATTTACTTACATACGACTTGGTCTATGTTTGGAAAAACAAGTTGAAGATGATATATATTATCTTATTTAGAGTTTATTATTGTCTGAAACTTGATAGGAGTTGCTAAGAATGAAATGATAGTTGAATAAAGTACACTTGTTTGACTGCACATCTAAAATAACGATTGAAAATGTAAAATTATCAAAAAAAAATAAATGTCTTAATAGGCCAAGATGATTTTGAATACCGAGGGAGTAAAGTTGACAAAAGCTTGTGTGAAATTAAAGGATTAAACCAAGACACCGCAATGGTAATCTTTCAAATCAGCTGTTTAATTTTAGATCAAGCTAAATTCATATGACTTCATTCAAACAAGGTTACTGTGTGAATTAATTGTCTACTTCGACCAAACTTCATCTCAATGTGAAGTGAAATAATTTTCCAAACAAAGCATTAATCGTGGCACGACTTCTTTTTACTAAAAAGAAACTTAAATAATTATTTATTAAGCTTTAGTAGTAATATAATATAATATATTACTTCTTATTAATACTTGTATTAAGATGTTTATTATTGAAACAATATTTTAAACTCATAATAGAATATATCTGTTAATTATTGATATTGCTTACTAATACGAAACCCGAAAATTTATCTTATATGGGATATTACCTACTCCCTCCGTATCACATATATCTTCCCACTTTCAAAGTGAGTGAGATTAAGAATAGTGAAATGAGGTATGAATTATTGAGGGTATGATGGGAAGGTGGTGAAATAATGTGATGGAATGAAGGATAAATCCAAAAAAAGTAGGTGTAGTAGTGTATTATTTTTTAAATTATTGAGGGTATGATGGGAAGATTTAGAAATGGGAAGATATAAATGTTACGTCCAAAAAAGGAAAGTGGGAAGATATGAATGTTATGGAGGGAGTATGTTCTAAAAATCGTTCTAGGCGTCCGACTAGTCCCCGCCTAGGCGTTAGGCGGTGGCGGGACGCCCTGATTTCATCTAGGCGCTCCGACTAATTGGTTTGCAGTCTAGGTGAATTAGTCGGCCGCCAATGGCGCCTAGTTGCCCGCCAAGAGCGCCTAGTCGGCCGCCTATGGTGCCTAGTTGCCGCCAAGAGCGCCTAATCGACCGCCTTCTAGATTCACCGAACATTACTTTACTTTTAATTTTAATTTTTCAAGGGGATTCCCTTTGCTAAGCGACATACATGCTTTAACTTTAGCCTGAGTTGCATGTAATTTAAGATAAAACTATATATGTTTGTATATATATCTAAATTTTATCATTATTTATATTTATAACATAATGAAGTTAAGTGATGAGTTATCATATACTACATATGATTAAATTTGATAATTCTACCATTCATGTTTGTTAATGTATATGTTTTGTGTTAGGAATTTAATTCACGCACACGAAAATCAATAATGAAGAGCACGCGAAATTTGGTAACCCAGTTCGTCACGAATGACTACGTCTGGGGGCGCTACCAAGCCAGGAATATTATTGCTATTTTCGGATCCACACACAATGATTACAAGGGAGAGAGCTTGTATTTATAGAGAAGTAAATTCTAACCCCAAGGCACTAGAATGTGTTTCCTAAAATAAATTAAGAAACGTATTTCCAAAAAATAAATTAAGAAACTGTCTCTAACAC